ATTTAAATAAGCAAACAATTATATAGTTTTAAAACATTATATATATATATATATATTAAAATTTTAAAATTATTAAATTTTTCATGAGAAAGACTAAAATTGCACAATTATGATATTTGAGAGATTAAAATTGTTCAATTAAAAATTGTGAGACTAAAATTACACAACTGAAAATTTTTAAGGATTGAAATTACTCAATTAAAATCTTAGGGATCAAAATTGCATAATTATAATACTTGAGCGATCAAAAACACAATTAAGCAAAAAATATTTTATTCTTAGTTTTGGAACGGCCCATTCTGAAACCAGAACGGTCCGTTCTGAAACCAGAACGGCCCGTTCTGCTGCACTGGTGGTGTGTTAATTTTCGCATCTGGAACGGCCCGTTTCAGTTGCAAAATTAACACACGAAGAGTGCAACCAGAACGGCTCGTTCTGGTTTCAGAACGGGCCGTTCTGGTCCAGAATACCTAACACAAACTGTTAAAGATGGTATGCATCTACGTGGCATCCACATGCCCAAAAGTTAACTCTGTTTAAATAATTTGGACGGAAGTCCCACATTGAAACCAATTAATTAATTTGGGACTAAATTGAAACTAATTAATTAATTTGGGACCAAATTGAGATCAAAAATAAAAGTGAGACTACATTGAAACAAAAAAAAATTATAAGGGACCAAAATAGGGTTTTAGACTTTTACTATGTAAACAAGTAAGGATAGAAGAACTGATTAAGTTTTTTTTTTTTTTTTTTCATATTAGGTATGATTTAGGACCAAATTCATTAATATGTTGCTTAAATGAATTGACTAAAATGTAATATAATTGAATTGAATCGGATATATGTGGTATAAAAGTGGATTTGATCGAAACGATTAAGAGCATGCATTTGCAATGTGAATGAGATAAATAAAAGAAAGTGTAACGGAAACAAGAAAAATAGGTGAAATAAACAAAGCAGCAAGCAATAAGCATAGAAGCTGTTCCTGATTGATTGATTTTATAGGAGTAAGCCAAAACGACGCCGTTGGGGTTCCCCTTATATAGGCAGAGACAGAGAGCGCGGCAGGGGAGGGAAACGGAGCAGCAGTGACCGGTTCAAAGGCATCGCATCGCATCGCAACCCGCTCAGCCGGTCACAGCAGAATGTCCTTCCCTCACCACCGTCGATCCCAATCGGAGCTGCATTTCCGGATCTCCGACGACTTCGACCTCGAGATCGATCTCTCTCCGCCGCATTTCCAAGATCCCACTCCGCTCTGCCAATCCCCATCCAAACCCCAATCTCCGCCGCCCGACCCCGCCCACCGCCGGAGCAACTCCGCCGACGCCTCCTCCTCCTCCTTGCTCGAAGGCATCGAGGCCAAGAAGGCCTTGTCCCCCGACAAGCTCGCTCAATTGTGGACCGTTGATCCCAAACGAGCCAAGAGGTTCCGTTATCGTTCCTTCCTTCGTTGCGCTTTCTAATTTTCAAATATTGCGATATTCTTCACTGAAGAAGGTTTCATGTTTCAGTTTCATGTTTCATGAATCTTTCGTGCATGCCATGTGATGCAGGATTCTGGCTAACCGCCAATCCGCCGCGCGCTCTAAAGAGAGGAAGGCGTGTTACGTTTCGGAGCTTGAGAGAAAATTTCAGTCTCTTCAAACGGAAGCAACCGCTCTCTCTGCTCAATTAAGTCTTTTCCAGGTTCTTACTCGAATTTTAAATCTGCATTGCTTCATTCATAAGTAACCGCGTGCAACAAATATTATTAGCTGCATTCTGTGTAATTTAGGGTGTGTTTTGGGGATACACTTAATCAAACTAGAATAGTTTTTTATTTTATTTTAATTTATATGTTCTGTAAGTGTAAAAAATGTTACACTCACATCCAATGGAATTTACTGTATTTCAGTGTCATCCTATTCATGAATATGATGTGACAACAAGATGAATTCTTACTGGATGTCTCTGGGAAAAAAAAATGCTTAATCAGCCTTTTGATCCTTATAGTTTTATGAACTTTACCTGATAGTGTCTGTAATTAATAACATTTTATTTTAGTACTTTTACATGTCTTCTTTATTTCATTTTTGTTCTTATGGTTTTATAGACTTTATCTTTTAGTTTTTATAGTAACTATTGAATACATAGGCTAAAGAGAAACAAAAATGACATGTATAAAGACTTAAATGGAATACTTTTAACTATAAGGACTTTAAGGGTAAGTAAACCTAAAAATTACACTGTCTGTGCCTATATAAGTTAAACAGTATTCAATAAGCTTTTATATCACGAGAGTTTATATCATGGATTTGAACATGAATAGAATATTATTTTGATAAACTAAACCAAGAAGCATATTGAAATTAGAAAGTAGTTACGAGGGTCATAAAATATATATTTCCATGAGCTCAAATAAGCTTCCCATAAGCTTTTCAAAATGTTCCCTTAGTTGTTTCTAGTGATACATGTATTCTTTTCAGTTGTCATCGTGTTTTGTTGCTGGAGTTTATAGTATTTTTAGGACGTAATTGTTGTTAATTTGTTATGCATAGTAGAATGACTTACATGTTTGCATGCGAAGTGTGTTTTATACAGAGGAACTCTCGTATCACGTGATTAATATGTAATGCTTGAAAAGTCAGACTCCCTTGCCTTAAAGTCAGGGAGGGAGAATCAATGCAAATGATTACTGATAACTGTGTCACGAGAAATGCTAGTGACGCACTCTCTCATACACTCTTGGGTGAAATTCTGGAGGGACCCATTAAATGTTGAAAAGAGCGTGCACTAAGCATTCTTCTTGTGTTATTTATTATTCCAGTATCCTACATTTAGTTACATACACATCACATCATTCACATCTACATGGTAGCTAGCTGGTCACACCTTGTTTTATTGCCTCGTGCAGGAATTTGATTGCCTGTACTCTAAATACGAACTACATGTGATGCAGTTTGTATTTGGACAGTTTAGATTTAATCAAATACACTTCAGATTATTTATAGATGTAAAATAAAATAATTTGGATGGATGAGATCATCTCTAGTTTTTAAAAACTGTAGACGATCTTGATCCCTTTACACATGTGTCAGTTGATGTGTTAGCTTGGAATGTTCACCAAGCATTATTATGTGAATGTATGTGTATGAGGATTGCTAGCAAGTTTAGACTCTTTTTGACACTAATATTGGGTGAAATCTCACATGGGTAAAGAGTATGTTGCCAATATTTCTTATATATTTAAGGTACCTTTTCTTTCTTTTTTTGTCTAATTGAAACACAGCTTTTAGATGTCTGCCCTGCATCATTCTCTCTGCGATGTGTTGGTCATGTAATATGACATGATCCAATTCCTGTTGGATTTGCTTGCTTTAAAGTTTGAATAGGCTGCCTTGTCAATGTCAGGAATAGTAACCTCCCCATTTTTTTTTTTTGGTGATTTTTTCTTTGGCTATTGGTTTGCTTTTTATTCTTGTAGCGAATTTGTTCTTCTTTAAATGAGGATGCTTTTGTTTCTTATATTGCACTTTATTTCCAATTCATTAAATTCCTTTTAGGTAATGACGGGCTTTCATATTATGCTACCTGAGACATATTCTTTCTGAGACTTTTTTCAGAGAGATACATCTGGTCTGACTACTGAAAATACGGAGTTGAAGCTTCGGTTACAAGCCATGGAACAGCAAGCTAAGCTATGTGATGGTACGTTTCAACCATAGAAAATTTGCAGATTTTAATATCCATGTTTCCCACTTGTTACTAGCTACTCGCTATACATGTTTTTCTTTGACATTAGCTACACATATCCTAATTATCTTTGACATCAGTTACATATATCCTAAGAATTTTTGCTGCTGGTTTTTTGCAACAGAAGGAGTGGAGTTATTACTTCCAGAGAAGTTGTTGGAAATTGTTTTAAACTTTTTATGCTTTTCTATATGTCATTTTAGAATTGTTAGACTGCCTCGTTCCAGAAAACGAATTGGGCCTCCTTGCCATCAACAACCTACTAGTAGTGGTTCTGTTATGTTTAACTTTCAGCTAATATATTTTATTTTCAAGTCATTTCCATGACTTTATCCCACCTGTCTTAAAAATTTATTAAATTCACAGCTCTAAATGAAGCACTGAAGAAAGAAGTTGATAGGCTCAGGTTTGCAACTGGAGAGATGGCAATGCATACTGATAGTTATGGTTTGGGAATGCATCAACTTGCATATAATCAACCTTCGTTATTCTCACACCAGTCACAACATAGGCAGAGCGAACATCAAGCCATGCAAATGCCGCAGTTTCATTCACTATCATCCAATGTGCCTACTTCCCATGAGTCTCTGTTTGATCTAGACATTCAATTGTCAGAAATGTTGTCGAGTGATTCTATCGGCCAATTTCAGGGACTGGACATAGGCAACGGGGTTTCTCATGTTCCGGTGCCAGATTGTTCCTCCATTTCTGTTAATAAAATCAACAATCCCTTTTGATGCAAATTTGACTGACCAACATGTCACCAGCCTTTTTATTGGAGTGTTCATAGTCTGACATGAGTGAGACCTAAAGGTATTGATTTTTTGTTTTTCTATTCAATTCTTTATTTGATCAAGTGCATGTTTGGATTAGTTTATCTGGAAAAAATAATCGCTTATTTTTTGCAGTTTTCTTTTAAGAAAAAAAGTTATTATTTCCCGAACAATAAATTTCAGTGTCCCCCCCTCCCCCGGTTAGGCTTTTAAATTAATTTATGGAGTTCAGAATGCGATTGAGGTTTCTTCAAGTTGTATAATCCATTCTGGTCCTTTTTTCACATTATTTTGTTACTGGGAGAATCTGTACTTAATTGCACCTTCCATGCAAACTTCTCAGTTTGTGTACATATTTTTGCACTTGGCACAGACTAGCAGTTGTTTGTGACAGTTCTAATTCTACCATCTTGCTTAAAGAATCATTTGTCATCAATTTTAATTGAAACTATTCATACATATGGACATTGGTATGGCATGGATGGACCATCATGTTTATATTTTTTGTGGAAACAAAGGTTAGACATGTTTTATTGGTTTCCTCTCCGGTCAATTTAAAGAAGCCACTTGAATGGGGGCCTCAAATGTCCACATACTTTACTGGTTTGGTATCGTGTTAGGCGAGAAATTAATGGCAAGCGCTTCATGTTATCATGGTCCCTTTTAACTTTTCTATTGTCTTATCTGTTCGTTTTTCATTTTTATTTTTGCCTAGTCGGGTATTTTATGTGGCACGTTTGAAGACAAGATTGCACCAAGAGTTGTACAGCGTTAAAATTATTAACATTTTGAAAATTAGATTGCTTATTGAATCGGTGAAAATATTTATTTAGTTCATTAGTTATTTCTTCATAGTGGAATTATCCATAACTAGCGAGTAAAAGATACTTCATGCCTTTATGTGAATATACATGCGGTTAGTGAAGGTTGTGGGTGGTTATTATGAAATTCAAAGGAAAAACTAATATATCAAGACTTTTTTAACTTTTATCATTTATTATTGTACATTTTATAAAAAGCATTAAAAACTTAAAATTGTCTAAAATAAAGTGTACATAAAAATGAGGGATAGTCTATATATATATATA